ATTTTTGTGAGTTAAATTAATATATTTGCCATTGTAAAGTTGGTAAACCGAGGGAAAACAGTCTGGGTCTTCATTGCTTTCATGCTAATTTTTCCAGAACCATGTTCCATACTCTGCAATACCTACGTGCTGAACTACAATTCTTGTCATTTTCTTTTTATACCCAAGTCTTGGCTTGCAAAGCTCTAAGCAATTTTGGGAGCACTTGAATATCCACTGACCTGGGAAGAAGTCCCTCTGAACCAAACAGCATTTACACATGTAAAAGGATCACACTGGAATCCAAGTTTGACTAGGTAGAGACCTATTTAGCTTGAATGTTTTAACAGCTTCAGGTGCCCTTGACTGTCACTGGTTCAGATAGATAAATGAATGGTGGGCTTTTGAGGGGTTTGTTTTTACATTTGCTTCTCTATTGTGGCAATGGAACTAGGATCAACTGTAAAACAAGACCAATTTTTCAGTGGCTTAACCTATCATTATTTTTTGACAGAAGATTGACAGTGTAGCAGTTGTTCTCCATCTCAGCGGAATGTGTGCTAGACAGATGAAGTTCAAAAATCCCTTGCTCCTTGTTTCAAGGCTCTGAATTAGACAGTTTACAAAAAATAGGCCCCAAATAGTTGATCTAAATTCTAATCACCTTAAAATGCAAGGGTTGGGAACTCAGGAGAACATAAGAGCTATGTTGGATCAGAGCAAGGGCTGAGTGCCTTGACCAGTATTGATTTTGTTTCCATGCTGGCCAAGCAGATGCATATGGGACACTCTCAAGCTGGACACAGGCACCACAGAGACAATAACTGCAGCCAGTTCAATTAATCTGATTTGATGGAAGCTGCAAATCTCTGCACTTACAGGGAGCAAGCCCCACTGAACTTAGCAGGACTTCCAAGTAATCAGAAAGAGGATCCAGCTACCCAATTCATACATTTAATGTGAACAGAGAAGGTGACATGAAAACTGTGACTCCAGCTATCAACACTGCAAGCTGTTTGTTAGCAATCTGTACCAGGAGATAAATTTAACTTACACAGTTGCAGCCCCCATTCACATAAGGCAGCTTTCCCTGCAATTTGCTCATTAATGCGCTGGCTAAAGACTGGCTTGTTTTGCTTGTCTACATTTGTTCTGGTTCTGTATTTGTAATAAGGCAGGGCTGTGCTAGCACTTAAGCAACAAAAGACAATTATTTCTTTCCCTACAAGCCTTGTTAAATACTCCTAATGTTTTCATTATTTCAGAATGGCAAAACAAATGAAGGTCACACCATGTCTTTCCAGCACACAGAAAGATGCAAAGGAGTAGGGAGGAGGAAAAGGAGGAGAAGAAAAAGAAGAAAGGGAATAGTTTTCCCACATCAGTGAAGCATGTGCTTTTTTGGCAAGCAACCCCAGGTTGCATCCAATCCAGCATGCCAATCTAGTGTGCCTACCCACTGTGCTATACGAGCCATGGGTCCCTGTTTGTAATGTATTTCTGCCTTTTGATCCAGAAGGATCTACAAAGTTTCTTCTATTTCTTTTTATTCCCCTATACTTCCAAAGAGCTGCTTTGCTTTCTTTAAAAGCTTCCAGTTCCTCCTACCTATACCACCTTTGAACTCCCAAACTACATTAGAGGGTTGTAGCTGATTCCATGCTGCTTTTGGATTTTTCTTCTCACTACCTCCCGTCTTTCTGTGAGTGATGGTAGTTGGGAATCCCTGTTGCGTAGCTGAGCAGGCTTAGGTCAGGCCAAGACCAAGAAGAATGCCATCCCTTCCTGTAGGCCCTAGCTCCATGACACCACTCCCCACCTGGCAATACAAACACACTAATAACAACAAGCATGTAACTGTTTGCTGCTACTTCATAACACTCAAAGCTGGCTGCCTGAGGCAGCTGCCTTATTTACCCCAAAGTCAATACAGCCCTGACTTTCTCTTCTGCGCAGGAATAGGAGATCGTGTTCTTTCTCCACTGTCCTAGGGCAGACTAACGAGCAACCATCAGCCCTGGAGTGGCTTGGCCTCAAGTCTCTTGAGTCAGGGAGCATTCTGGAGAGGCAGTCAGGTGCATAAATGTGTGCGGAATGTACAGCTTTATTGCTGATCAATTTGCACTGTTTCTATTATATTTATTCTTGGTTTTATGCTATTCTTTTAATGGTATTTGCTTTTATATTTTTGTGGGAAATGGTAGATAAATTGAAATAATGAATGAATAAGACCTGTAGTCAACAGCTTGGCCCTCCAACTCCCCTCTGGAGATGTCAAAAATTCCCGTGAGGCCCTGTGCACTGATATCAGCAGCCTGCCCCATCCATTATGTGCTGGTTGTGCGGTGATATTCACATTTGAAGGAGCAGTCAGATGTGGAACTTTTGCAGGTCAGAAATTGTACATCTCTAATGTATAGGAACAAAGCGTAACATTGCGATTGGAAGATATTTTATTTTTGAAGTTATCCCGTGTGCCTCCTATTCTATGCAAGTTTGGACAGAAAAAAGGCCCACAACTCCCAGGATGTTGGCCAGCTATTCTGGGGAGTTGTAGGCCTCCCCACCCCCACCCAGCCCAAACTTGCATTGAATTGCATTCCAAATGTCCAAGAGAAAACACGGTGATCTTCTCAACCCCTTAGATGGTTCTGCTGGGCCATTAGTGTAGAGACAGGATTTAGTGTTACTTCCTGCTCTTTCATGATGAATGAGAGTTGAAGTCCAAAACATCTGGAGTGCACCAGGTTGCAGGAAGCTAGCTCAGAGTTTAATTGTGCAACTCTATACACAAAAGAAACTCCCATTAAGGTTAATGAGACTTACTTTAATGTAAGTGGACACAGGACTGAGCCCAGTTTCTCAGTAATAGGATACTGCAGAAGAGAAGAGTGGTCATAAGTGGTGGATGTACATGTTGGTGGGGGGTTTCTGAGTGGTTAGTCTAGTGGTTACAATTTGAACTTGTAATGGCACAATGCTGTGGCCCTTAGATGCCATCTAGATGGCCACAGGAGACTTCAGAGTCCCAGTTCCAACCCTGGAGACTCTCTCTGAGGTTGGAGTACCTTCCCTCTGCCCTTACAGTGGCATGGAAAGCACCAAGCCAACTGCAGCTCTAAGGTTACTAGAAGTACCTCAAAGATGTTTTGAGAGTAGAGAGAAGGAACAGAAAGGCTCTGCCAGCATAAATAGCATTCTAGCAATGCCTCTGCCTTCCTTCGTTTACTGGGGCAAAAAAGTCTTAGATATCCAAAATCAGCCATTTGCATCTTTGCAGGTGGGAGAGCCATGGAGGCAAGCTCTCGCTCTGTGCTCCTTCTGCCCTGCATAAGATGCCCATTATCTATGAAATTGAGAGGGCTACAGGCTGCCTTATCAAATTGTGCTGTTACAATCTTGTTTGACCTACAGCAACTCTTATTCCCTTTTTTAAAGAGATGTTCTTTTAACCATGCAAGTCTTATGACTGAGCAGGGATTTGAACTACTGTCTCTGTGTGAGCATAACTCCCACCAATTAATCACGTAATCAAGGCTGCTGAAGGACATCTTGGCACACAGACCAAATACATTTCTTTGTTGCATTTATTTTCTGCCTTTTCATCTTTTTCCTATCCATTTTCCCTTCACAACAACCTTGTAAGGTAGGTTGGACTGAGAGCCCGAACTTACCCAGTGAACTGCGTGGCCAAGTCCTAATCCAACACTCTTAACCACTACACCAGAGATGCATAGCTTAGGGGCAGCTGACACCAATTTTTGCAAAAAATCACACAACTTCCAGGATGGCTAAAAGGTGTTGTAGTGAATTGTGCCGTTTTAAACCTTACATGATTTTTCTAATCCACTGTTTAGGAGCTTACTACAGTGCACTAACAGTCTTGAGGATGGGGGTCCCATTGGGAAAGGGATGTGTCTTTTGACTTGCTGGGAAGGCCTTCCTCCTGGCCCTGATCAGGACACACCTCCACAAATCTGTTGCTTGCTGCACCCCAAGAGAATTTCCTTGAATACATTGATGAGGTTCAGGCAACACATTGACCCACAGTCAAAAGTTAGAGTTCCCAGAATTCTCCAGCCAGCAGCAGGGTGGGCTGAAGCATGCTGGGAATTCATGGGCTTTTTTTTTCCTGTTTGTGCTCAATCTTATCTATGCTTAGACATGTGGTGTGTGTGTGGAGGGGGGGAGTCCTACAATTCCCAGCATGCCCCAGTCCACAATGGCTGCCCAGGGCATGTTGGGAATTGTAGGGCGCTTAAACAGACTGGGGATTACACCCAAAGGCATGCACAGGAGCTCGCCTTTGGCTTCCCGTCGCTGCTGTTCCTAGTCCCCTTATGAAATGGCATCCCTGGGGGCGGGCGAGGGAGAGAACGGAGGAGGGGGAACCACGCACGCAACTTCGAGGGGATCTCTCTCCATGGGGGTATGAAAAATAACTGCAGAAGCGGCAGCGGGACCAGGCAGGGGAAGGAAGAAAAGACTGAATCGCAGGCGAGCTGGGGAACCACCAGCGTGGCTCCAGACTCCCCCCGCTGCCGCCGCCTCCTCCGCCTCCCTTCGCACGGGTAGCACTTCTGCTCCTCTCCCCCCGCGTCCGCTGCCTTCCCTCGCTCTACTCCAGAGTTCTGTCCCCCACCTCTGCGCTTGCCGCCGCCGCGAGGCTCTCTGCAGGATGATGGACAGCTGAGGATCTGATACTCCATCGCGCTGGGCGAGCACCGAGGCTGGAGCAAACAGTCTTACTACTTACAAGAGGAAGGGAAGCTTTGGAGCGCTTCGAGGAGAGGCGCGCGGCCTGGGGCGGAGTTGCTTTGCTTACAGTGCCTTTCCTGGCACTTTTAAAATTTTACTGGGGGGCGGAGGGGGGTGTTCTCTTGGAAAGCTGCTTCTGCTGCTGCAGCTGCCGCTGTTGCAGAGAGAGAAGGGGGCGGGGGGACTGAGCGAGGAGGGATCGGGACTTGGGGAGCTCTTCGCCTGGGGAGGCTCCGCGCCTGGTCTCCTCCAACCACTAGGAGCGGGGCCCCGTTTGCAGGCGGAACCTTTCGATTGTTGCTGCCCCCCCCCCTTTTGATCCAGCGTCACTCTCTCCGCCGTAGCCGCCGCTGCCCAGATCCTGGGATACGTATGCGAAGCTGGGCTTTCCATTACCAGAACTCGTCTGGCTGGAGGGGGACACTTCGCTCCCGAGGAAAGAGTTTTTCCTTCCCCGTGCTCCGACGAGTGGGCTCTCTCGGCGCTAAGAGAACTTCGGGCGAGTCAGCCGGGTTGGAACAAGCAAGCTTTGCTTGCAAACTTTTTTTTTAAACGTGCCCCCGGCAGCTCCACTCCAGCATGTAAAAGGACGTGCCAGCAACGGCCTCTTTCTGTCGAAACGCGTCCCCGTCTGTCCCCGTCACCACGGGTAAGGGAAATCAAAGAGATTTACTATTCTTATTTTGAAAGCACCTTAAACGGCGGCAGCGGCTGCTGCAGCGGCAGCAGTAAACTGGGTTCCGTCTGCGCTGAATGGCGCGCGATTATCGCTCTGCCGCACCGACTCCCTCCCCTTCCCGCTGGTTCTGGCAGGAGGGTCTCGCCACCAGGCTGGGCGGGGGAGAGAAACGACGCGAGGAGGCCTGCTGGCCTAAATGTATAGTTTTATTAAAAGGCTGTGCGTGTCTGATGTAGACGGTTTCATGGGCAGAGCGATTGTACAGGCTTAATATGAAGTTTGATTTTGCTGCGAGGCTTCCATTCGGTTTTTCCGCACGGAACACCAAGAGCACCTCCAATTCTATTTATGTTTGCCCTGCACCTCGTCCACACGTTTTATCTTGACAGCCCCCCCTTGAAGTAGTAGAGGGGTGCTCCTCTTGATTCTTCTTCGTGAGTGCTCGTTGCACTCCTCGGGTTTTTTCTGCTCAGGGTTTTTCCCGAGAGACCACTTGCTTCACCAGCGTATTCCTCCCTTCCGTGACGGAATCTGGACTTGCAATTTCTGGGAAGAGAAGGGGGGCACCGTTTTTACTGGGAATGGGATGTGATCAAGCGCTGCCGCCGCCCGATCTTTCTCTTTCTTTCTCGATCTCTCCAGTTGCACAGGTTGCGCGGAGAAGGATCCCTGTACCGCTTTCCCCAGAGGAGTGATGCTAATCAGAGAAGTCCTGCTGCTCCTTCAGTGTTGCTGGCCTTCACTGCTGCTGCACTGGACACTCCATCCCTTATGGGGCTTCATTCAGGTAACATCACTTGTCCTTCTCTTTTCCTGGGGGTGCATAATTCAGGATGTATTTACACCTGTGCTCTCAAAAACCCACCAACTTCTGCCAAAAGTGCTTCCCTTTTGAATTCTCCGTATTTCACTGGGGGAGCAAACCCAAGTTGGCTGATGGGGTAATGTAGAAACAGAGTCTGTCACGGACAGCTGAAGCTGCCACTGTAGCAAAAGTAGAACTGTTTGAGAGAAATGAAGAGACCCCCCTCCCCCGCCCCATCCTCGGGGATCCCAGCTGTTAAAACTGGAGTTGACTTGAGGTGCTCAATGTAAGCAGGATTCATGGGAGAAGGCAAACGACCTGTTATGAGGCAGGTGCAGCTCTTACATGACTTTAGCAATGCTACAATGATTGTGTTGTCATCAGTTAGTGCTGTTGCGAATGGCCACTTTGCTTTCTCAAACTTTGCACAGAATTGTCACAGATTACTTTTTGGGTCTCACTGTTTACAAATCCACCACCCCATGCATACCTGTCATCAGAGAATAACACTATATGCACTGGTTAGAGTGCATTCCAATCCATGAAAGCTTATGCCTTCATAAACCTGTTAAGCTTTTCGTGTGTTGCAACCTTTGTTGTTGTTTTTGACACCTTTTTGGAAGTCATGACAATAGCTGTGAATAAAGGTAGGATAAGCAACTCATTTGGGGATATGATCAATGCTCATGTTCTGTGTGCTTGCTTGCTTTCTAAGCATGACAAAGAGAACCTGAGGGACCCAAAGATTAAGGGAATTTATTCTGTATTGTCACAACCTTTTGGTTCCCATGTTATTAATTCTTTATTTCCGCCAGTGTACTTCCAGCTATGTGTAGAAATATGCCACCTACTTCCTCTGACTAATTTCTGGGGCTATGTGTCTTCTTTTAAGGAAGACAGCTCTCTCTTAAAAGACTGGTATAATTTAAAGACAGGCAGTGGTTCTTATGGGTCCCTGTCACCAGTGAGCATCAGAAGAGCAGCCTGAACTGGCAGGCACATATGTCATCTGGTCACAGTGCTCTGCACTATGGTGATATGTACTGTATTTCTATTTAAATTATAATTACTATTTTGCATTCACCACTTGGATATTTCATTGGATGTAAAGCAATATATAAATTGTGTAGAATAATAGGCATCTAAGTTAGAATGTGCAAATTTTGTACAAATGGGTACCCTTTTGGTGATGCATTTTCTCTTTCTAGATAGTTTGCAAGTGACCATCCACCATCCTGTGGTCAGGGAAGGTAGGCCTGGTTGCAAACACTCATGCTGTAACCAAGGGCTGCTCCACTGTGCAGCTGAAAGGATCTAAAGGACATGAGGGGGGACTGCTGGGAACTTCTTCCCCCATCGTGCCTACCTTGAGGTTTATCCCCACAGTCCTATCTCTCAGACAGGCTATGATGTTGGAAGTGAACATGGATGGGAGGAAAGCACTAGGAAGGAACCTGAAGAGACAGAAAGCTAGGGACAGTGGGTTGGTTAATTGTTCCTTATTGGCTGTGTACTCTTTGGCCCTTGAAATTACATTCCTGTCTGGCGCTTTTTATGTGAATGGGGAAGAGACATATGTAAAGATGGAACTTCTTATCTATGCCTGAGAGGCTACCATGCTTTCTGGCTCTTCCTGCTGCAGTCCAACAAAACAAGGTGATTTCTGAAATTTGATACTTTTAACTTCCTTGATTTTTTAAACTGTAACTGAGAAACTTTTTGTAAAACCTAGAAGAGAAAAAAGGGTTCAGGAATAAAATGTAAAGAAGGAATAGGGTGATTTTTACTTAGGGAAGAAATGCATTGCACTCTGAATAAGCACTATTTATTTCAATGGCATGCCCTTTCTGATAAGTATGCATAGGCTTAGCCTATGTAGGAATTTTCATGCAACTTCAAAATAAGTAGGGTTGCAGTCCTTTGCATGTTTGCAGGGGAATAGGTCCAGCTGAATTGAAGGGGATTGCTTCTGAGTGAGCATTCATGGGATTGCATTGTAAAAGGCCTTCACACAGAAGGGAGGATTCAGCTGTATGCAAAGGCTGCTAAGGTGAAGAAAAGAAACAAAAGGAGAAAGTTACAGCAAAGAAAATGTTTTCTAACATTTGTGCTGTGTGGCAAGCTGGTCAGGTAGCACTGCTATCCGCAGCACTTATGCTTTCCTGAGAATTCTTTAAGTCTGTTGTGAGTGATTGGATTAAATGGTCCATATTAGGTTTTCTGAAATCCAGAAAGGTTACAAATTGTTAAGATGGTTTTGATCAAATTGAGGGTACAGTTTAGAGAGCCAAACACTGATCCTGCAGTCTGAGTCTCTTTAACCATTTCCATAGCTTTGCTTGTAGATCAGACTGTTGCACTGAAAATGATTTGGGGCGCAGTCCTATTGATATTTAGACAGAACAAAATTCTACAGATCAAGGTTGGGTATGGAATGCTGAACTTTGAAAATCAAAACATAGATAGAATTGAAACTTTAACAGTATACTTTGATAAAATAGTGATGGAGTGCCAGCTAAGGTCTTGGCCACTCTAAATTAAGTTTCCTCTTGTTCACATACTTGGGGAAACTCAGCAAAGGAAACCTCACAATTGCAGTAGCAACAACAACATTGTAGCAAGTGATTGTATTACACCAGTCACAATCCAAGGGTGCTCTTTCCAGGCAAATATTTCATTAATGGTTTATTTAGGTATAAATCTCTCTCTAGCAGAGTGGCAACCTGTTAGGCCCCAGAGATAATTGCAAACCGTACTTGATACCTTTATGAATATAAGAGTCATGCTGGATCGGATGAAGGGTCCATCTAATCCAGTGTTCTGTTCACACAGTGGTCAACCAGCTACCCACAGGATCCCACAAGCAGGATAGGAATGTAACAGCCTTATGTGTAAAAGCAGCACGTAACACATGGATCAGTACATTAACTTGTAATGTGTGATGTGTATTTGGTGTATTGATATGGTGTGTTTTATAACCTGTCATGTATTTCACATTTTTACATGAAATATATCCTAGATTCTTTCTCTTTAAAGTCATGGGTTTCCTAAATGGAACCTAGATCTTAATAACCATAGCAGTCCCTGTCCAGTTGACAGTGATCTGAGATAATGTGTGAGCAAAAGGATTTGACTGCTTCCCAGAACATTTAAGAGATCAGAACTGTTGAACTTTGTGCCTATAAAATTCAGCTTGCTTGTTCAGGGCAGGATTTCATTTCTCCTGAATATGCTGATGATAAAGGGTTTTCCGAGTCCCATGACTAGAGACAGCAATGTGTGCAAAACAAGGTCTCTCCAAATAGCATAATTTTATTAGCAGTTTGGCACAGCAACTGATGTGACAATGAACTCGGAACCCACTGAGAACAGACTGAATCAGCTTTGACTGCTCTCCAGTTCTGATTTGCCATGTGGTTTGACCTTGCTAGTTATATGTGGTGATGACTAGCAATCACTGTGAACAGACCCAGAGGCAATAGTATGGACTGTAATTATGTTGTTAGGTTGCTTCAATCTCAATGACTTCAGTGGGATTTAAGTGGCAGAATGCCACCTATAGAAAGTAGGACAGTGATCATCCACATCAGGCAGGCACTGTAATAAAGCCCTAACAACACACATCCTTTTGAAAGTTAACACCTTTCTTCTTACTTGGGTCTTGAGAGAGTCATTGATAACCTGAGTACAAAAAAATGCTGCCTCTCCTTCTGTTCTAAACTTGGCAGATTTAATGTTTTGTTGTTGGTGTTGCTTGGCTTAACTTTTTGCCTCTCTCTTAAGATCTGTCAGCTGTGCAACTGCAAAAGAAAGCTCTCATTCTGCCGCCTGCCACGCTCTAGAATCTGGGTGGCTAAACTAGCTTGTGTAATTGAAGCTCTCCATGTTTTAAAGACAAATGTAATTATGTAAAAAGAGCTGCTTTTTTAATTGAAACCGACACCCTGCAATCAATCAGTCAGTCGCCAATGACTTACATAAGTGTTCTTTATGCAAGCCTTGTAGGTGATATATAAATCAATAATAAATTAAATTAGGTGGATGGGTTGTGCCATTTTGTGATGCAGAAATCTTCATTAATCAATCAGGGAACATTAAATATTTTTCTTATTTGTTCTTCTAATCCTCAAAATGCATAGAATTTACATGTGCATGGATAATAGCCTTAATGAAACAGAAGCCTGAACCATTATTTCTTTAAAAAGAAAAAAAAAAGATTTCATCCATATATAGTTCTGTCATTTTTATCAGCACAGACTTCTGTTTCATTGCATTTTAGATGTTCAAGAGAATATCCTGCACAATGCATCTTAATAAAGTGATGCCAATTTTTGTAGAGTTTTAGTGACAGTACAGTTCTGCTTAGTTTAGTAGGATGGTTTACCTAAAAACCTTTAGCTCTGCTAAACCTATCATTGCCAGCCAGACTCTATATGAAAAAGTGATATAGGCTTGGGCTCTTTTTCTTTTAAACATTTATTAGGGTTTTAGCATGTGTTCGTTCACCTGTCCCAGTCCTACAGCAGAAAGATCTCCTGAACCTCTCCCTCATTAAACCTTGCCCCCAATAGAATCTGGAAACCTTATGGCTAAAACTCCTCAAGTATGATCCTCCCAAGTTGTTAGTGTCAACCACACATTTCAGTTCTGAAAACCAACAGGAAAAGCCTTTGGTATGTAATGTATGTCACAATGGGAGAAAAAGCACCCAAGGAGATGACCTTTCAAAATGGTGTAATGCCTTGTCTTAGGCTGAAATGTAGCATCATGGTCACAGATTGGTGGGGAAATGCATACATAATCCTCTGCTTCTGCTGTATAAAATCCCCTCCCTATGCACGGAATAAAAACGGAATGCATTTATTTTGCCTTTTAGAAAGTAAGAAAGGTGAGCCTTACTGACTAGTAGAGGCAAGTGTGTGAGCTTCCTGCAGCTTGTTTTTAGTTGCCTAAACATTGTTTAGATTGGAGATCCTCGGGTT